CAGAAGAAGGTGGGAGTAAGAGAAGACTTCCAAAAATGGAAATAATAAATTTTTCCTGACCGAAAACAAAAGAAGGGGATTGTGGATTTGGAATTATCAAGGAACCTCAAACCCCGACAAAGCCCACCCCGGTTTGGGTGGCGACCATATAAGCAAAGTTGCAGCGAGCGAAAATCAGTTGCGTTCCAGTTCAGTTCAGTTTTTCGAGTTTAAGTTGAGAGCTCTGAAGACCCACCACGCATTAGCTTGAAAGATTCACGCAATTCCAACTCATCTTCTAACCAAGTACAATTTGTTTTTGAAGAACGACTTAGACTCATACCACCAAAACAAGTTTTACGACTATCGCCTGAAGACACACCAAGAACCAGTTTCTTAAAGAACAGACAACTTAAGATGGTAAGACTCGCCTAACAAAAACAACGTGTCACGAATCTATATAGCGGGTCGGGAGATAGACGCAGTCCTATGTATCCAGCAACCAGATATAAAGTATTGTTATCCTTTTTTGATACCTTTGAACTTTTGGAGTTATTATTTTCTTTTATTTTACACATACTTGTGCGATATCACCCTTATTCGAACTCAGCTTGCAGTACGACCCAGCGACTGATTGATTTCGTCTGCCTAGATCAATTCACAACGTGGGTAGGTTAGACTAGAAATCAAAAGAGTTACTTCGGTAACCAAACGTTGGAGGCGAGTTGGGAACGACGAGGCTGATACCGAATCTACCCAGATTCCCATCCGAATCACCAAAAGGTTAGAACGTCACATTTGTGTGCCGCGGCCAATACCAAGCCAGTTGGTCGTCACAGGACGGGATAGCACGACTGATGCAGACAGGCGGACGTCACGTTTGAAGCGGCGACACCCGAACGAGAGCGGGGAGTCACAGAGGGATAAAACAACAATTTAGACACTAGCCCCAATGAGTATTTACAATATGAATGCAAATTATTTACATGAAACTAAACAAAATAATTTTAGTAATAAACCACCACAATCCTTACACGTGGAAAGCATTGAAGCTTGTTGTGCAGCAGATTAACGTTGTGGTGTAATGTAGATCTCTTCAGATTGAGAAATCGGAGAGCTGAGTTCGATTTCCAGTCGGTTTCGTTATATTCACTTATGCGCAAGTACCCCCATCTATGGGTTAAATAGCAGGACAGTCTACGGCAGAAAGTAACGGCAACCTACTGCGTGAAAATTCTGCCTAGTCAGTCATGTATCGAATGCTGTCCGATCGCTCAAGCCTGCATGTCTGATAGCTTTTTTTTTTTAACAAGAGGGTAATATTAATGCTATTCTTTTTAAACATTACACAGCCATATATGTAGAAGAATTTATTTGAACTGTTTTTTCAATTTCCTCTTAGCATTTTTTGATTATTTATTTATTTATTTTTTTGTATAATCTGGAAATACGAAATAAAAGAGTTAAATTCATCGAAAACTTAAACAGTTTAAAGAAATGGTAATTTGCAACTTACAAAAAATTGTCGTTATTTCATAATAAATGAATGTTATCTTCACAAAAAACAACTCTGGAAAACGGCATTGTCTTAATTTTAGTTGGCAAAAAGTTAACTTTTGTTAATGAAATAATTGCATAAAATTTTAATTTAATTTTAATTGTAAAAATTATTAAATTTCAGTATTAATTTGAACCAAGAATTATTCAAATTGGGGCAAATATTTTTTATTATTATTAAAGTTATCAAGGGCTTTCTATTACAACTTTTTTCTGCCTTGTATCACGATATTCGTTTACTCTAAAAAAAACGAAATGCTTTTGTGGTGGGTGCATTATATCAAACTTCTAAGATGTATTGGCTTATTTTTTTTTTAAAAAAAATGTTAATCTAATTCTCTTCCATCCGCGAGATACAATACTTATTTATGGCACAGTTAAGAAAATTGAACTTAAATTAGCAGCGAGACACTAAAACGTTTCAAGCAGTATTGACTATGAATATTCTATTAGTATTAAACCGTTTTTGGAAAGTTGGTTTCCCCTTAACTCAATGTGCTATAGAAAAATACAAAGATATGAACGAACACGTCTAAATGTTGTACCGAAAAATATCTTTCAAACTTCACATAGATCAAATAATTCCGTGTAAGGAACAGTTATATATATATATATATATATATATATATATATATATATATATATATATATATATATATATAGTTCAGTCATATTTTAAATAACTTGGTCAGATTGAGACTTTCATTTGGACGCCATATATAGCTCCAAACTCGTTCATAAATTTAGAAACCGTAATATTTCACCCCCCCCCAAAAGGTGGGAATACCATTAGCACGTAAGCGGTTACAGAGAGTAGGGGCAAGTGTAAAAAGGGGAATTTGAGGAAAGGATATAAAGATGAACGGGGATCGGGATCAAGGCATCAGAAGATGTCGATTGGCATTACATTTAAATATTTGAAGATTATAGCTATCGAAGAATCAAGTAAGAGGAAGGGAGTTCCACCGTTGGGAAGTGCGATAGAAGATGATGTTTTGGTAGAAGATGGGGTTACATTCAGATGTGGGACCAAAATGTCAACTTAGTAGCACGCTTAAATTCATATCTTTGCTGTACTAATGAAAGTAGCTCGTCAGAGCAGTTTCCATGAAAATATTTGTAGAAAAGACAGAGGGAAGCCACGGTAAGTCTGCGAGAAAGTGAAGTATACGAGATGCCAGATCAGGACCTATTACATTGCATATCCGTTACCTTGATAATTGGTGTCTGGTGCTACATAATCCTAAATGAACAAAACCCCTAACAAATAGAAGAATCCAAGTCACTTAAAGACTCAAAGGACTGAAGATGAAATTAATGTTACATATGACCCGAAGAAAAAAATAATTATATAATCAAGATGTTGACGTTCCACAGTGCTTCAAGCAAAAGGTTAGGAAGGAAAATCCCTATTCGTATGCGAAAGAGTGATAACAGACAGTGGACTATTTTCATGAAACATTATTTTAATAAAAAGATTTTATAAACTTTAACTGACGGTAGTTCTTGTTGGATGATCAATGACAAACGAATGTTCGCATATAAGGAAACATTACCAAAATAAAAGTGAAGCAAGGAATACATTACTGAAAGTACGGTTGCTTGTTAAAATATTCTGACGGCGTCGAAGTTTTGAAGTAAGAAGAAAACCATAAAGTCTCTATTGTATACATTCTTTTCACATCTAATTCTTTTCTGCTTTCCATCAATCCATTCTGAATTCACATATCCTGTAGCCAGACATGTTTATAATCCGATCAACTTTAGACGCACACTTTTTTATTTGCACTTAATATTTTGTTTTTTTCTGTCAATCCATTCTATACGCATATGACCTATGGTCAGCCATTCTACATAACGGACTATGAGTTGATCAAAGTATTAATTCACTTGCATTATTTGGGGCTAGTTCTATTATTTTCTTTCTACGACTGCAGTACATTTGATAAAATCTTACTTTATTCTTTGTCGGTATACATACAAATTAAGTATTCCGAAATTTATATAAAATACGGACAGACCTACAGATAGATAGATAGATAGATAGATAGATAGATGGACAAATAGTGAACACCCTT